GGTGTGAGCCACCATGCCAGGCCTATTTATTTATTTATTTATTTTTGAGATGGAGTTTCGCCCTGTCACCCAGGCTGGAGTGCAATGGCGCAATCTTGGCTCACTGCAACCTCCGCCTCCCAGGTTCAAGCAATTCTCCTGCCCTAGTCTCCCAAGTAGCTGGGATTACAGGTGCCTGCCACTATGCCTGGCTAATTTTTTGTAGTTTTTAGTAGAGACGGGTTTCACCATGTTGGCCAGGCTGGTCTCAAAGTCCTGAACTCAGGTGATCCACCTGCCTTGGCCTCTCAAGTGCTGGGATTACAGGCATGAGCCACCATGCCTGGCCAGGCCTATTTATTTTTATTTTCAATTTTTTTTTCAGGCTAGTCAAATAAAGCAGTGGGAGTGGAGAAGGAGCAAATAAACCTGTAACTGGTTGCGATCAATTAGTTGTAAACACCACTGCACTCAGACCAACCTAAAGAAATGAATTTCTAATGGTGAAATTTCAGGCTTAGGCAGTAGTAGGCTTGGGAATCTGGAAGTGTTTGTGTTGCACAAATTCTGTCACAAATTTCCCTACCTTAATGTATGCTCAGTCCTGATCCTTATGTTGACTGGGTAAAGCTCCCAGCAGGTCAGGGTGTTAGTTCTCAAAGTTATTCTTCTAAAAAAAAAAAAAAAAAAAAAAAAAAGCCAGGCGTGGTGGCTCACGCCTGTAATCTCAGCACTTTGGAGCACTTTGGGAGGCAGAGGCAGGTGAATCACCTGAGGTCAGGAGTTGGAGACCAGCCTGGCCAACATGGTGAAATCCTGTCTCTACTAAAATACAAACATTAGGCGGGGTGAGTCGTCATCCGACGTCTGGCCGTGAGATGTTTTGGGAGCTGGGGTCTCTCCGCCGCAGACATGACGAAGGGCCTTGTTTTAGGAATCTCTTCCCAAGAAAAAGAAGATGGTGTGCCACCGTTCACAAGTGCAGGAGAGAATTTTGATAAATTGATAGCTGGAAAGCTGAGAGGAACTTTGAACATATCTGGACCACCTCTGAAGGCAGGCAAGACTTGAACCTTTTATGGTCTGCATCAGGACTTCCCCAGCGTGGTGCTAGTTGGCCTCAGCATAAAGGCAGCCAGAATCGACAAACAGGGAAACTGGCGTGAAGGCAAAGAAAACATCAGAGCTGCTCTTGCAGCGGGATGCAGGCAGATTCAAGACCTGGAGCTCTCTTCCGTGGAGGTGGATCCCTGTGGAGACGCTCAGGCTGCTGAGGAGGGAGCGGTGCTTGGTCTCTATGAATACGATGACCTACAGCAAAAGAAGAAGATGGCCATGTCGGCGAGGCTCTGTGGAAGTGGGGCTCAGGAGGCAGAAAGGAGTCCTGTTTGCTTGTGGGCAGAACTTGGCACGCCACTTGATGGAGACACAAGCCAACGAGATGATGCCAACCAGATTTGCTGAAATTATTGAGAAGAATCTTAAAAGTGCTAATAGTAAAACTGAGGTTCATATCAGACGCAGGTCTTGGATTGAGGAACAGGCAATGGGACCATTCCTCAGTGTGGCCAAAGGATCTGACGAGCCCCCGGTCTTCTTGGAAATTCACTACAAAGGCAGCCCCAATGCAAACGAACCACCCCTGGTGTTTGTTGGGAAAGGAATTACCTTTGACAGTGGTGGTATCTCCATCAAGGCTTCTGCAAATATGGACCTCATGAGGGTTGACATGGGAGGAGCTGCAACTATATGCTCAGGCATCGTGTCTGCTGCAAAGCTCAATTTGCCCATTAATATTACAGGTCTGGCCCCTCTTTGTGAAAATATGCCTAGCAGCAAGGTCAACAAGCTGGGGGATGTTGTTAGAGCCAGAAACGGGAAGACTATCCAGGTTGATAACACTGATGCCGAGGGGAGGCTCATACTGGCTGATGCGCTCTGTTACGTGCACATGTTTAACCGGAAGATCATCCTTAATGCCACCACCTTAACATTAAGGTGTAGCTTTGGGGTCAGGTGCCACTGGGGTCTTTACCAATTTATCCTGGCTCTGGAACAAGCTATTTGAGGCCAGCATTGAAACAGGGGACTGCGTCTGGAGGATGCCTCTCTTCAAACATTATACAAGACAGATTGTAGATTGCCAGCTGGCGGATGTTAACAACATTGGAAAATATAGATCTGCGGGGGCATGTACAGCTGCGGCATTCCTGAAAGAATTTGTGACTCATCCTAAGTGGGCACATTTAGACACAGCAGGCATGATGACCAACAAAGATGAGGTTCCCTATCTACGGAAAGGCATGACCGGGAGGCCCACAGAACTCTCATAGAGTTCTTACTTAGTTTCAGTCAAGACAATGCTTAGTTCAGATACTCAAAAATGTCTTCACTCTGTCTTAAATTGGACAGTTGAACTTAAAAGGTTTTTGAATGAATGGATGAAAATCTTTTAAAGGAGACAAAGGATGGTATTTAAAAATGTAGAACACAATGAAATTTTTATGCCTTGATTTTTTTTTTCATTTTACACAAAGATTTATGTGGTTTTTTTTTTGTTGTTTTTTTTTGTTTTTTTTTTT